ATATTTAAAAATGCTCACGTCATACACACATACTGTACACACATCAGCACTTAGAAATAGGCTTGGATGCACTTACAAATGTGGTGAATGTTCACTGCTACCTCCCTCTCAGCCTTTTCTTTCTGTTTTACCCTCTCTCTAAAGGTCTCATTTCCATTTGAGAGTCGAGTAAAGATAAAAGGGAATAAAGTTGAGGAGAGGGCAGGAAACAGAAGATGAAAGAAGAGAAGGGAAGAAGAGGGAAAGAGAGCCGAAGAGGAGAGTAAAGCAAAATAAAATAATTAAAAGATAAAGTCAAGTTGATGTCCATAAGAGATGAGTTGACAGATGGACAAACACACACACACACAACACACACACACACACACACACACACACACACACACACACACACACACACACACACACACACACACACACACACACACACACACACACACACACACACACACACACACACACACACGTACAATAATAGTCTGGCCTTTTGAAAGTTCAGTGAATATTAATCATCACACAAAGAATGTGTAATTAGATATGAGATAATGACATTTCATCAAGTTTAATATTCATTTTGAAAATACATGATTCAGGGAGTGGACGTATGACATTTAAGTCTCTGTGGGTGTGTGTGTTATCTGTGTGTGTGTAAAGACAAAGAAAGGTTTCTGTATGTGAGTGCGTGTCATAATTCCTAGTTGCTGAAAATCACTGACAAAAGAGAATTATGTCCAAGTATAACACTATTTTGTTGTTTAGGTTCGGATCTCTTGTGGTGTATTTGTGTCAGTGGGAAATCGTGGTGTACCGAACATTGTGGTCTCAGTGATGTTTAAATTGTGTGACCAAAATTAATTATTTGTCACCAACATGAACAAGTTAATGGTCGTGATGGTTTAGTTTGTCATCCCCTAACCTAGCAAACAAAGGAAAGGAAAGGTTTCCCCTCAACCCGCCCTTGTGTTTTTAACATTTTGCGGGGACACTGAAAGGGGAGTAACCCTAACCCTAACCCCTCTTTGTAATAACTTAAAGTGGACCTATCAAGCTATATTTGAATAATATAGTGTAGGACCATACCTATAAGGCATATTTATACTTTTTTTTTTTCAAAATACCAAACAGATCATGCATTTTAGCCATGCCTCATTTTGCTCAATTTGACATTTTTTAGATCTGTTTTAGCAAGGGTTGATTCTGTGAGCAACAGCACCATCTAGAGGCCTGGCATATGTACTACAACGTCTCCAGCGCTTTCGAACGGCAATGCCGTGGTTGTCTCCTCCTGATTGGTGGAGTTGGCCCAATAGCCGTAGTGCCACTGTCCTGACGTCAGGAAAGTGTTCAAATCTGGATCAGTTTTTATCAGATCCGTTGCAGCCCCTTTTTTAGAGATTTGGGTATGGAGGAAAATAGAGAGGGTTGTGTTTTCTGACACTTGGTGAGTTCCCTGGAACACCGGGGACACATATTCATGTATAAAAGACGTACAAAAGTGCATTTTGCATGATAGGTCCCCTTTAAGCATCACTTGATTCCCACCAATTTCATTCCTTTGCGTGAATAATTTTTCAATGCAGAACGTAAAATCTGCTAATATCCTGCATCCTGCCACACTGTTTATATTGGTGTAGCTTTCCCTTCATAACATGCTGCACTAATAAGTTCAACGTGATACATTTCACTCTAAACTCTACATCATTTCACTAAACTCTACATCATTTCACTAAACTCTACATCATTTCTCTCTAAACTCTACATCATTTCACTCTAAACTCTACATCATTTCACTAAACTCTACATCATTTCTCTCTAAACTCTACATCATTTCACTCTAAACTCTACATCATTTCACTCTAAACTCTACATCATTTCACTAAACTCTACATCATTTCACTCTAAACTCTACATCATTTCACTCTAAACTCTACATCATTTCACTAAACTCTACATCATTTCACTCTAAACTCTACAACATGATAGCTCATATATGAGACTTCAAAGGTATTTTATTTTGAAACTCTACATCAGAATGTCCTTATTTTCTCTGAGTGACTAGGTGGGGTGTCCTGCTATCACCCTGAAGTGAAATAAGTCTTTGATACTGGACAGTTTTTGTGTTATTGTCATCTAAAAACAGAGGGATGATAGCTCATATATGAGACTTCAAATGTCTTTTATTTTGAAACTCTACATCAGAATGTCCTTATTTTCTCTGAGTGACTAGATGGGGTGTCCTGCTATCACCCTGAAGTGAAATAAGTCTTTGATACTCGAGAGTTTTTGTTTTATTGTCATCTAAAAACAGAGGGATGATAACTCATATATGAGACTTCAAAGGTTATTTTATTTTGAAACTCTACATCAGAATGTCCTTATTTTCTCTGAGTGACTAGATGGGGTGTCCTGCTATCACCCTGAAGTGAAATAAGTCTTGATACTGGACAGTTTTTGTTTTATTGTCATCTAAAAGCAGAGGGATGATAGCTCATATATGAGACTTCAAATGTCTTTTATTTTGAAACTCTACATCAGAATGTCCTTATTTTCTCTGAGTGACTAGATGGGGTGTCCTGCTATCACCCTGAAGTGAATAAGTCTTTGATACTCGAGAGTTTTTGTTTTATTGTCATCTAAAAACAGAGGGATGATAACTCATATATGAGACTTCAAAGGTATTTTATTTTGAAACTCTACATCAGAATGTCCTTATTTTCTCTGAGTGACTAGATGGGGTGTCCTGCTATCACCCTGAAGTGAAATAAGTCTTTGATACTGGACAGTTTTTGTTTTATTGTCATCTAAAAACAGAGGGATGATAGCTCATGAGACTTCAAATTTCTTTTATTTTGAAACTCTAAATCAGAATGTCCTTTTCTCTGAGTGACTATATGGGGTGTCCTGCTATCACCCTGAAGTGAAATAAGTATTTGATACTGGACAGTTTTTGTTTTATTGTCATCTAAAAACAAAGCTAGTTTTTTTTTTACTTTCTATGTAATTATCATTTTCCCTCCATTTATTTTCTGTATTCAGGGACTCCTTCCTCTCGTCATCCTTTCTTCTCTTCCTCCCTCTATCTCTTCTATCCCTCTCCCTCCTTCCGGGGTGTGGAGGAGATGAATATAAACAAGTTTAATATACAATAATACATCACGCCATGACAGGTCTGCCAAGCAGCATCCATTTTGTGAAGCTGTTGTGTTCACTTAGCAGCATTGGGGCTAATTATTGCAAATGGCAGCTGTTGGAAAGAGTATTAATGTCTTCTTTCTACATGGATACATCCAATATTATGGGCTGATGAAAGTAGTCACAGGCTAAACTTTAAAGAGTACGAGAATGACAAAGAAACAGGGGGAACTGGATTGTGTCTTGTTGGTTAAAAGCCCAGTAAATCCAACTGCATCCATTTTAATTAAACCTGTCACTGACTCGGAGTACTGTAATCATTATTCACCTTGCAGCCCAATAAAGTGTTATATCGAAAGCATTTTAGTGTAACAGGGCCTCTGACTGTGAGATGAGGAGCTGTACAGTATGCAGACAGAAACATTATTCTGCAACCTGTTTAATATTCTGAAGAAGAAACTCACTGAATGTTTTTAGATAAAGATATTTTGTGCTAATTGGATGACAGGTGCATTTGTCAAATAAATGTAATGTAGCGAAAAAATAAGTGTGCACTGTGGATCGTGTCAAAGTGGGGATTATAATGAAGGCAGCGTACTGAGGAAATACTCAGTTTAACTTATGCTGTAATACATATCAACTTCTACAAAAGGGATTGTAACCCAATTAAAAAAACACTCATGTATGCTTTCCAGATAATGAATGAATATGCTTTGCTCAATGAACAAGTCTTTGAGATATTCATTGTGTCAGATCAGGTTGATATGTTGTCTCAAAATGTCTGCAGAGATCAGACGACAATCAGTTGTCCAATGTCAATCAATCAATCAATCAATGTTTATTTATATAGCCCAATATCACAAATGTTACATTTGTCTCAGTGGACTTCACAGTTTGTACAGAATATCAGTATGACAATATGACACCCTCTGTCCTTAGACCCTCACATCGTACAAGGAAAAACTTCCAAAAAAGGAAAAACCCCACAGTTTAAAGGGGAAAATGGGAGAAACCTCAGGGAGAGCAACAGAGGAGGGATCCCCCTCCCAGGACGGACAGACGTGCAATAGATGCCGTGTGTACATCGAAAAGATAATACATTTACAACATAGGTAGACCAAATGTTTGGAAATGCATGTGTCTATAATAAGAAGATGAATCCACGAGGATGTCAACAATCCTGTGGGAGCCATCAGGAAAGTAAATGTTAATAATTAGTATGAAAAATGTAACATTTGCTCCCAAAAGCGAGAAACTACACTTATTGCTTCAGTGGGAATCAAACCCCACTCAAATGCCATTGAGGCAACAAAACATAACTTGAAAGTAATAACCATGTTTGCTGTCATATAAATATATATGAACAAACATAATTCTTGACGTTGTCTGGACTGGAGAAAGCATAACACTGGCAAGTCGAAGCAGCCTGTCAGTGTTTGAGGGGTTTATGGCTAAATGGCAACAAGCAGAACACTGTTCATCAAGTAAAGTGTGAGGATTAAATATGTTTGGGGGTCATTAAAATGTCAGAGAGGGAAAAGAGGGAAATTAAAAAAGTGTTTGAGAGCATGTGACTTATTCACAAAATGAAGCCTTGTTGTTGTGGCCTTTGCAATGCTGTGGCACATTAACACGCCATTATTACACAGACAATTGATATGAACAAGACATATTATTGCATTCACACTGTGATAAATGTCGCGATCAATATGCATGCAGGTTGAACCTGTTTCTGTAAAACCATGTTTCCAGGTCCATCAGTGTCTTTTTCCACTGTGTAAGAGAGACCCCTGGTGGCCAAGACCAATTACTGCAGTGTCATGACGTATTTCCGCTTCCGTTGTAAACAACAAAACCAATATGGCGACTTCAGTACTCATGTAGAAAGTATCGCACACTTTTGTTGACATTTCTTCACAAGTAATGCACTTGGCAATGGCAGAACTGATAAGTGAGGGGAGTTTAGTTCGCTACTACTGCACTTACGGTAAGGGGATGGAGTCTTTCTTAATCGACGAAGTGAAGAGGAAGCTGGCAGCTGAAGATGTGAGTGTTTTAGTTTAATGACATAACGTCTAATGTCATGCTGTATGAACTCCATTCATAAAAAGTTAGTTTTGAGAGTGTTTGATATGCAGAGTTGTGAAAGACGTCCTTTGGTTTGTAGCTGTGTTGTAACCTGTTTTGAAATAAGATGTTGACTAAAAACGCATAACTATCAACGTCATTTAAGTTAAGTTAATGTTATTTTTAATTGTGGGAAATAACGTTAACTATGTTTAGTAAAGTAACAGTCATAATTTCGAGGGAGCCGACTTGTACTTGACTTTATACTAAATAATGTGCTTCTTACCCCTCTACATGTACTTGAAAACTTTAGTTAATTTCAACGTTTTTTTAACCAATACATTCTAATTTAATTATATCAGTAAAACGTAATTGATCAGTGATGACATACTTGGTGATGGGGAGAATATACAAGAATCTAAATATAAATAACTTAAATGAAATTACGCAAACATATACCAACTGCAATTTTTTGATTGCACTCAATTTTTTGAGTGACACATTAATGCACCTCTGCTCCTTTCCCTCAAGATACACTTTTAATTTCCTGAAAGTAAAACCCCATTAAAACTCTGTTAGTTAAACTCATTGAACTGAAGGAAAACTTAAAAATATCAGACAATATATTAACACCTGATTTAGTTTTTACTGTCAAATACTCATATCACTATCTATTTCAACAATGCACTGTTGATAATCTCAAAATGACATTTAAAAATAAGCGATTTAATTTCTGCCTTTTTGGCTGCAAAATCAAGTTTTTAAACATGGCCTTCTCTTTTTGTTGTTCTGTGTGTCCAGGTGTGTCAGATTTCAGGTAAAGTGTTGTTCAGCTCGTCTGCAGGGATCGACAGAGTCAGTGAGCTCAAAGCTGCAGAGAGACTCTTCCTTCTGTTGAAAAAAGACTCTCCTGTGCTGCTGCCCAGCCCACACCAACCAAGGTACCACACATTTAATACACTAATACATGTAAAGCAAGTTATTTAGGAACTCCTTGGCAGATATTTATTGTATTTTTGCTTGTAGAAGTATGCTTTCATGGGAAATTGAGTCACTCCCGTTAACTGGGAAAATCAGTTTTACTTTAAAAAGTCAAAATGATGTGATTTCAATTAATAGTGCTTCTCAAATCACATCATGACAACGAAACCACTGTAGAATTCAGGAATCAGAAATGCTTTATTCGTCCCACAGCGGGAACATTTACATTGTTTCAGCATATGGACAGTGCAGAAAAGATCAATAAAATTAGTAGACCAACCCATTTAATAAAATCACACGTTAATAAAGTAATTATCAAATAAGTTCAGATGCAAGGAATACAAATAAGTAGCATCATTATACGAGTTTTAAAATATAAAAAGTGGTGAGCTAGCGGCCAGTGTTGACATCATACATTGTGAAGTGAAAAGTGTTATTTCACAGTGTTGACAGCGTTAATTTGGTGCTCAATTACAATGTATGTAATGGCTTTTATATCATGTTATTTTCTCAGCAAAAGCATCCTCTGTGCTGCAGTCCAGAGTGTTGGGGGACAAGGATCAATGGAGCAGTGCTGTAATGACATGGAGCCGCCTGCAGGGGGAGCTGTCGGGCAGAAGAAGGACTACTGTCAAATCACAAAGCACTGTCACAAGAAAGACAGGGGAGGAGGGCAGAGGGATTGAAGAGCTCAAGAGAGAGATAGTAGAGAGAGGGGGACAGACCTGTGGAGCAGAAGCCCAGACACTGGAGAAAAAGAGAAAGAGGGACGAAGGAGAAAATGAGTCTAGCAGTGACAAAAATGCAGAGGATCAGAGGACATCTGAGAGAGACAGAAAGAGACACTGCGAAGAAGAGGACGAAGAGGAAAGGATGGGGTTAAGCATCTGTAGACAAAATGGAAAAAAGGGAATAATATCAGAAACAGATTTGTGTGGCACAGGATCAGTTTGTGATCACGCAACCTCAGGATTACACCACAATGTGGAGGGAAGTGGCAGGAATGTGGATAACACGGCAGAGGACTTAACAGTGCAAAAAGTGGAACATGGTAAAAAGAAAATGTTGTATTTTTCTGTTTTAATTCAACATTCTTTCTTAACACGTTATTTATGTTGCTGATTTTGTTTTGGTTGTTCTCTTCTTTCCATGTTGTGGTTGCCTAAATGTAATAAAGGGACGACTACTGAAGGAAGAGATGAGACACTTCTGCAACCCAGTCTGATCAAACCAGAGCCTCCTTCTCCTGCAGCGGTGACTTTCAGGATCAGCTGCAAGTGTACAGGGTCCCTGTCTCGCTATTACAGCCAACAGGTAGTGGAAGTTAAAATGCACTGGACAAAGCAGTGTACATTCAAAGTATTATCTAGGCCAGCTTCATGTATTTCCTTAGAAGTAACATAAAACACTTATAAATGTGTATTGTGTTCAGAGGAATATAACGTGGTTGCATTTTGTGTCTGATATAGGAGGTGAGTAGAGTGATAGGAGTAGGTCTGAGCAGACTGATGGGCTGGAAAGCTGACCTGAAGAATCCACAGCTGGAGGTAAAAAATGTTTCCTTATCTCACAAGATAATGTACCGTATGTCTTGATGGGCAAAACTATTGATATCATTAGTAGATACTCTTTGGTAAATGTGGTCGGCAGACTGTTTTTTCTCTTGCCTTTCCTTTCACATGTTCCATCATTCATTGTCTGCTTTTTTTTTCTGCAGGTTAATGTTTATTTGAGTGATGACAACTGCCTGGTCGGGTTTCCACTAACCAGGTGATTGACAGAAACACTTTCTCTACATTTAACTAATGACTATATGCTGTTTCCATGAAATCCCCTCTAATAAGAAGACTTTGAGGTATAATCCCAAACAATCTTGAAACCTCAGAAACATAATAGATGTAACATATTGCAGCTTTAATTACATTTGCTAAGCAGTCATAAGTAATACCTCCCTGTCTCTTTCCCTCAGGTTACCTTTGGCTAACCGGAGCTACATTAAAACCACAGGACTGCGGTCCACTGTAGCCTGGGCTATGGCCTCATTGGCTCAGATACAGGTAATAACACACACTGCTGCTGTATTTGTATTGGTTTGTACATTTATGACTTCTGAAAACTATGAACTACTTTGTTATATTTACTGTATGCAAATCAGAAGGCATTAGATCTTTTACTAATCACCTTAAAAGGAAAATCAGGTTTGGACTCATATAATGTGACAATTGAGCCTTAAATGTCCTCATTTTAAAACGGTTAGCTTAATGTTTGTTGTCTATGCTGCACACTCATTGGATTGTGATTCAATAATGTCTTTCAGTCACAGTATGAGTTTGACAAACTGTATGTACTGTATGTTATCTGCTCTTTCCCAGCCAGGCTTCTGTGTGGTGGACCCAATGTGTGGAGTCGGTACCATCCTAATAGAAGCAGCACAGGAACATCAGGTAAGGACAGAAATATACACAGAGTTCCAGTATAAGTGTATCATTTTTCATGATAAATAATTTGTTTTCATCTTTGGTCTCAATGGAAATATAGCTTGTTGTTTTTTTTATGTAAAAATTCATAAATATTGAAGTTATTATATATACTGTAGTGGGCTATTTGAACACTCTCATAATAATCTGACCCCTCATTCTTCAGGATGTCTGTTTCCTGGGTATGGACATTGATGATGGACAGTTGAAGAAGGCCAATGAGAATGTAGAATTTGCAGAGCTGGGAAACAGGATGCACCTGCTGAAAGCTTCATCTATGAGTAAGAAACCTGCACAAAATGATCACTACAATAATCCTAAATGTTTGTCATTAAGTTTGTGTTCATATCAAGAGAGATCTTAAATTAATCTGTGTATGACATGTATGGTAAAGCTGTGCATACTTAGTTGTCATCAAATGAAAAGCCACAACTAATGTATTTTGACAATAGAAATGAACCCTTTGCCCCTAAATAGTGACATTTACATTGCCTCGCTCTTTGTACAATAATAAATATCTGCCTTCTGGAAAACTGTCAGAACCATAAATAAAGCTCAAATTGAAATACATTGTAAACGCTCTTTAAACATGGCCAGCAAATGAAATATGTCACTCTGTTGAACACGTTGCCATTTTTCTCTTGGATTAATTCAATTATGAATCTCAGGGGATGATGCAATTCACTAATTCCATATCCAGCTTTTATAAATTGCTTTTATTTAGTTGTGAGGATCCAAAGCAGCGTGTTTTGGATTGGAGTCAGTGAGTGGGAGGTGAGAGTGAACCCTGCTGTCATGTTTTAAATGACCTCTTGGCCTCCTCTGTTTGTGCAGCGCTGCCTCTGCCCAGCTCCACTGTGGATGCTGTAGTGTGTGACCTGCCATTTGGAAGGAAGTTTGGCACCAAAACAGACATGGCTGCCAACCTGCCTCTCATCCTCACAGAGATGGAGAGGTTTGTGTTTCTGTGTGTCTGTTTCCATTGTTACTTGCCGAATTGTTCAGTGAATCAGAACATTTTTGTAGTTTTTCTCTTTCTCGTGTGTGTGTGTGTGTGTGTGTGTGTGTGTGTGTGTGTGTGTGTGTGTGTGTGTGTGTGTGTGTGTGTGTGTGTGTGTGTGTGTGTGTGTGTGTGTGTGTGTGTGTGTGTGTGTGTGTGTGTGTGTGGTGTGTGTGTGTGTGTGTGTGTGTGTGTGTGTGTGGTGTGTGTGTGTGTGTGTGTGTGTGTGTGTGTGTGTGTGTGTGTGTTGTGTGTGTGTGTGTGTGTGTGTGTGTGTGTGTGTGTGTGTGTGTGTGTGTGTGTGTGTGTGTGTGTGTGTGTTGCACAGAACTATTTGCTTGGAGGGTCAAGTTCCACATCCAAATAGATCTTAGAACTGTATAAAGTCTAAATCATGTTAGATTTTGTGCTGTAACTTCAAACTAGCTATCTTTTAGCTATCACTTTTTAAAAATGATCTCATAGCAATGACAAAAGATTGCGTGTCTGTAAAGAGTTATTACTTTAAGTAATTTACTTGATATGTGTGTGTTTCAGAGTCCTCTGTATCGGTGGTACCCTGGTTCTCCTTCTGAGTCCTCAGTTATCCTGTGTCCTGAAAAAACTCCTGGCACAGAAAGACACCGGACCAACATCTAACCAAGAAGCAAAGCCTGGAAAACAAGACTGTCCATCTCCTTCTCTATCCTCCACAAAGCAGCAGACATCCCAAATCCAACAGGGGGTCAAATCCCCACCTACCCAGGAAACTGAGCCTCCGTCTGGGCTACAGCACAGTCCGCCACCCCCTCTCTCCTCCCTGAAGCACCAGGCAACGCTTCGTCTCAGCTTAGGGGCCATAGATGGACTTCTTCATAAATATGTCAAGATAGACACTTGATCTGTGTTTGTGAAAGTTACTTTCAAAAGTATTTAGTTATCTTTTTTACTTTTTTCGTGAAGAATCAGTAGGTTTTGCCACACATTATAAAACGATGTGGTTTGTCTCTAAGGTTCTTTCAATTGCAAATAATATGAAGAAATATATTTTTGTAGGAAATGTTAGTTAAACCAGAGTCAAAAGTGTGTCTTTTAATTAATACCCGTTGGTGCTCTTGAGGATATTAATGACACCAAGACAGTGTATGCCCATTTCCATTCTAAAGAAGATCACAATGGGTTTTCAATAGATTTTGCACACCTATCACACATAATTAAAACATGTATTTCAAGCTTCTGCCTCACCAAATACACTTGTTAGCAAAAAACATTCATTGTTTTTGGTATTTTTGGTCATATGTTGACCAAAAATATGGAATACCACAAGCCTTATCCCTTATATGTTTCTGTAATAAGTCTTTGTTCTGCCTGTAACACAAACCCCATCAGCTGAATCACAATGTTGCCATCTGCCGTTTAGCCCTGCTTAGCCCAGTTTTATACAGAGGGGCGAGACAAGGCCACACAGGGCTTAGTGTTTGCATTCATTTCCCTTTCAGATGTCAACTTACTGTATTTTCTCTGCCTGTGTTGATTAGAAAATCTGACTTCATCTTCATTGTGTGGATCTCCCAGTACTATTGAAATAGTACAATCAATCTTGTGTTAAAACCAGGTGTTAGGTGTTTTCTAATGACCTTTTTTTAATAAAAATTGGATATATAAATAAACAAGTGACTGTTTGTGTATGTTTTTTTATAGCTTACTAATGTTTAACCACCACACTTATCTTTTAAAAATCAATATTAAATCCAGCAGCTTCACTCCCTTGGGCAGACTCATGCTGTGTACGCCATGATGTCCATTGCGCATGCTCATTGCGCAGTGGAAGCCATGTTGGAGCTACAGTGGAATCGGGCTGGGATTTTCTGACGCCGTATGTTTTTCTTAAAATTACTGTTTTCATACATTGTTGGGGCTCGTTAACCGTACGCGATCGGCGCCGTAATCGGCAGTGGACATGATGGACTCCAGTGTCGACCTGTCCCGGAGGAATCCGCAGGAGGATTTCGAGCTGATCCAGCGGATAGGAAGCGGCACATACGGAGATGTGTACAAGGTAAAACTGCAGTGAGAGCAACAGCCACAGAGATCCATTATCGGACAAGCAGTGGGTTAGACATGCATAGCTCTCCTTTTGTAGCTCGTCAGTGTTGTCATAACAGCAGAAAACAAAAGAATACAGCCACGATTAGCACGTTTATTATATACAAGATTGTTAACGTTTTGATGTTTACTGATGCAGTATTTAATCTGCTACTCATGCAATGTAATTCCATTGTCGGACGCGTAGCCAAGATGATGTTTTATGACTGTTATTGTTTTGGCCTTTTTAACCGACTACTGTGGACATCCGGGTTAATTTGAACGGAATTCAAATTATTACCTACAATACTCGATGGCAGATAATTTATAAATAACCAAATCTGTCGTTAACATTGACTATACACCTCAAGCCTGTTATCGGGCGCAGACGTTAAAGCTACATCTGTTTTGTCGAGCAGAAATAATATTTACTTGTAATTTTACTCTACAAGTGTTGGTCGTTACAAAGCATTAACGCATGCTACGAATGCACGTGTGTTTACGTCTCAAACTGTAGTTATGGTCTAAATATTACTGTTGGTGATAAACAACGAATGCTTTGGACGGAGCCGTTTAGCCGCTAGCTGTCCGAGAACGGACGCAGCTAACATGATAGCATCAAGAAGCTAACCAGGCTTTCTTTGGAACATTGTGACACAATTACAACGAGCGGTGATTTGTTACTTATCCGGGAACATAAACTGAAGCAGAAACAACCTTATAGCTTTATCATTAATCACAATATGGCATAGTTTTGGCAAAATTAGTTAAAAAACTGTCACCGTTTTGCCCTGATACAGACTGACAGCTGCCTGCCTGGAAATCCAGTTTGGCTGAAACAACAACAACAACCTTTATTTTAACACCTTGTATGATTATTATAAATGTGTTAACACAAGTAAGAAGTATTCCAAGGTTTGGAGTAACTTGGACGTTCATTGCTATGTAGACTGTCTAGTTTATGTCGCGTTAGCTTGTATCTTTGGTCCCACAGTGTACCAAGGCCCTGTTAGCAGACAGCATTAAAAGGGGAGGCAGTTCCTGAACTCCACCACAGTCACATTATCACCATGCGTGTTATATGTTACATAGAATAAGTGCATCATACGCATTACAACGTAATTTAGAGTAATACAACGTCGAAGTGCATGAAAGGCCATGCAACATTTATGATATCACATAAAGTCGTGAAGGAATGCATCCGGACATAAAAACAAATGCGATCTTGCAGGATTGCTGTAAGTGCATGAAAGGTGCACTACTGAGTATTCAAAACAATTATTTAGATGAGCAGCTTAAGAATCAGAATACGAATTCCTGTATTAGTCCTGGAAATGTACATTGTTATAGCAAAAGTGGCATAACAGGTTAAAATAAAAGACAATCAATAATAAAGAGTAGCCTAAGCTAACTTATCAAATATAGAGAAGAAAGCACTCATTAGTAATACAATTATAATAAAGACACATAAGTACACAACCATGGCTTTAAGAGTAGCAGCAATTTAAAAACTAAGTGACATACGTAACATATTAAGGTATTGGGACGTTTATAAAAATGTATGTACTTTGTTGTATCTGCGTTACTTATCAGCTCTATAGTATTAGTCAGGTCGAGCAAGATGAACATCCAAACTCTTAACTTGGTGGTTGTTTTTAATGGAGTCACTCTGACTATGTTGAGGTATTTCATTTCACCACTGTGTGAGGGGAGAGGCCTTTTTGGCAGACTGGAGATTAATTTAAACACTGTAATAGCTCCAGATGGTGTTTGGTTAACCTTTAGGCTCTCTAGGGTAATTACAGGACTGTGAACGTATACTAAAGACTCAATACATCCTTCTGTCATTTTGAACATATCAATGAATCCATCTATTATCCATTGATGCCAATAATAATACTTCCAAAAACCCTTCTACCTGTTACTATTTCTTAGCATTTCTGTTTTTCTACAATGCTTCCCTCTCTCCTGCAGCTTATCTTGTTGGTTTCTAATTTAGGTTCAGTATCTTGCCTTGTTGCAGACACATAGGTCTGACTGGCTCTCTTCAGCAGCGGCTCAGACACACTTGTTAGACAGTATTCCCCTCATTAAAGGTCACTATGTAAGAACAGTGATGAGAAGCAAATACCTTTTAATCTATTTTATATGATCATGACAGGTGTATAAATAAGACATCTGTAATTCTGCAGGCAGTTGATTAATCCATTCATAAAAATGATAACAATAGACAATGCAAGTATCCTGTAGCTAATGCTCTAGTTCATTGTAACAACATGGGTTTTGTGGAGGACACTGAGGGGCTCTTACCTGAAACCACTGGATAAAGGATGTCTTTCTAAGCACCAGGGCACTTGGTTAACCTCATTGATGACTATATTTGGTTCTACCGCGCTGTAAAAGTCGGTGTCTCAGGAATGTTTGAGCAGGAAACAAAGTGTGAAATATAGCTTGGCTTTCTCCTGCTCTGTTTGTAGCCTTGTTGTCTTTATGAGTTAGGAAGTAACGGAGGAGGATTGGCTGATATTGAGTGTTGTATCCCTGTGGATTGTGGAGTGAAATACCTCAGCAGCATTTCAGGACTGCCCAAAGGGGGGCCTGTCCAAGAGATGTTTTTAAAGAGAGAACAAATATAATATTAATCAGTTTTGAGGCTTTTTTTGTATTTCTAATTACTTAACCACAGCAGGCAGTGTGTGCAGGAGGACAGTTTGGTGCAGGTCAGTGGCCCACTCACTAAAGGCATTTCAATTAAGGTAGCTTGCAATCCCAGTACCATGAATGCAATTCTTTAGATGCCCCTGAGGGCAGGGTGAGACAGGGATGACTTTTACAGACACCCCCCAGGCTGTCTAGGAGGGGGGAAAAAGAAATAACACCATTTAAGGTTGTGCAATTGGCCTGTATCAGTGTGCACAGTGTATTGCTTATCATAATAGTAGTGACACTCCCAAAATAATTTATGAATTACTACAATACCAGTTTGTCTTCTCAATAGGGATGGGCATTGATTTCATTTGAATTATGATGGACTTCAGATGGAATTGCATCATGATGAAATAATACGGCATTAACATATTGTAATACACCATTTCTCCATTACATTTGATATTAAGCTGTGTTTACACAATGTACACAATCAGGATCAGAATCAGAATTCCTTTATCGTCCCACAGAGGGGAAATTTACAAATAGAGATACTCTAAATCTTTACTTGACATTTGTATTTCTTTTTGAACTTAAGTTCTTTATAAAATGAGAAATACTCAGTCCTTCAATTAGAATTGTTTTTATTCACACAGGGGAATACAAAACAGGCTTTACAATATGGATAGTTCATAAAAACCTTCTTTATGACATGAAACATAGTCATATATATCGTTAGTGAGCTATAAAATCACACACATGGTGACAGAAGATTCTCTCTGCAGAGTCCAGCGTAATTTACTGAAACTATAAGTATTCACGTGGGATCTACCATTCCTAAACTGAAATCATTAGCGATTAGTAAAAACACCCATCCTACTCACCTCATGTTGTTGCTGGTGAACACATTAAATGATTTCCTTTTTTTCCTGGACCTTTATTTGACTGCTTCTCACGGTTGTGGCTTGAAATTCCAGTAAAAGTTAACCGTTTAGTCATTGAAGCATCCAAGCTGAGAATTCCTGCAACCTGATGCCAGAAAACTGCACACGGCATGCTTATGTTTACCAATCTGACTGATGCTGGAAACCAGACAAACTCAATAGGAGAAATATCTCAAGTTGATGAGCCAAGCTTTATACAGGGTTCTTACGGTCATTAAAAACCTGGAAAAGTCATGGAAATTCAAAATGCTAATTCCAGGCCCTGGAAAAGTTATGGAAAACAATATTTTTCCCAAAGTTTTGGAAAAGTCATGGAAATTTAACTAAACTTGCATCAAATATAATTTATATTTTATCTAATCGCCGAAATAGTAATACTATAATGATAATAAATACTGTATCGTATAGTAATGAAACGTAAAATGGCATTTAACTGACGAGGTATTTTGCTGGTGAGAGATTTTAGTTGCTTTAGCCTGTAGAAGCTAGTAAGCCTACTATTTGATTTGTTTTAGATAGGACCAACATGTTTCATATGCAGACCTTATTTTCCTGTTTCATGTTAAAATAAACCATTTCAGTGGTACCGCTGAGAAAGAGTCATTTTTTTGGTCATAGAAAATTAGGTAAAGGTCATGGAGAAGTCATTGGTGAAAAAGTGTGAACCCTGTTTATATAAAAAGCCTGTTTTGTGGCGGATGCCAAGGATACTATATAAACAAGACAATGCATTTCTTTTGAAATCTCATTTGTTAATTAACAGTGTTTCAAAAGAGCTTCTTGTAGTAGCCTTACATGTTGCTCTTCATCCATTTAAACCTGTTTTCTGGGTGCCGCAGTAATAGCAGCTGTCACTGTCTGCGCTTCAGAAGAAAATGCACATGCCAAGTCTTTACCATCACACAGGGTATGACGTCACTCATATTGTTTGGATAGGATGACTTGCTTGTTTCCTCAAGGTGACAGTGGCTGTGGATTGAGGAAGTAGAGGCAGACAACAGCCTTCAATCGCAGCAGAGATCAGTTAATGACAAATCAATTTCTGTAGCAGTGTGTGTGCTCTGAAAACATGCCAGCCATCTGGGTATTTTGGGACTCACACGTACGTGGCAAGAAATGCTACCAGACTTTGTTTTTCTTGCACATTTTTCATGCTTTTCTAGTGAGTTTACCAGCACAGTATGACGACTGTTGAAACATTTTTTTTTGACGCACCTAATTAATATAAATAAAAATAACATGATTGGCAACATTGTGGTAATCATTTCTTAATAAATTCCTCTTAAAAGGGATTGGAAGACATCATGGTGTTCATATCCACAAGTCCGTGATTGAAAGGTCACCAATCATGCTATTTTTAGGCAAGGGTCTCTCAGATATATAA